CTCAGGAACAGCACAGCCCAGAGAGGCTGTGGCCAGCTGCCCGTCAGCTGTTCTGGGCTAATTTTGGGGTTTCAGTGCTGGGGTGGAGAGAGTGCCGGGAAATCAGAACAGGGAAGTTCTTGGGGCTTGAGGAAAGCCAGGCTGGAAGAGATGGAATGTGGCCCTCTGCCTCCCACCCCTCCGTGAATCATGGTGCCAAGTAGAAACGCAGAGTTCATTCTCCCAGGGGCAGAATTGCCCAGCAAGGGATGTTGGCATTTGCTGTGTGGCTGTTTCTGCTCATATCCCCAGCTTGCACTCCCTGCTTGCACACCCTGCCCTTCAGTGTTTCTGTAGGCCAGGGGGCTCCCACTGTGAACACGTTCCTTTCCACAGGGACCCTGGAGAAGGTGCTCACTGCACAACAGACCTTTCTGGGTCAGGCCCATGAGGACTTGTAGGTCCTCCTCTCTGCGCTGATATCACTGTAGTTGTACTGTGTGGAAATGGGGAGGGAGGCCAGTCTTCCTGGGAGCTTGGGAGCAGCCATGGCCCTTCAGAGAAGCCCAGATAAAGGCATGGGGCCTGGCCTTTGCTCATTTGCACTGAGCATTGGGTGTGGCAGCTCCTTTTGGCCAAAGGCAATGCCCAGAGAAGAGCTCAGCTGTGAGCATTTGGCAGGCAGCTTTGGGAATGGGCACCCAGGGGCACCACAGAACACACTAAAAACTTGCTAGACTCCATGTAAAGGCAGTCACCAGGTCTGATTTGCTTTTTCAGTCAGTTCCCATGGGCACTACCCAGTGGGTGGGCATGTTTTAAAAGAAGACAGTAGTAACACAGGAGGGATTTCCGTTTGGAAGAACACCTGGCTGGTGGTGAGGCCCTAGAACTTCATGCTGGTGAGCAGAAAGGAGAGAGGACAATTTTACAGGTGTTGGGAGACAGCCCCTTCACCCGGGTGGAACGTCCAGGCTAGCATGGGAGCTAAAACAGATCTTAGCATTTCACCACCCACCTTGTACCTGAAATCTGCAGGGTGAGAGCAGATATAGCCAGGACCCCAAGCATGGTGGAATGAAACAAAGGCATTCTTTTATTTTATTTTATTTTTTGAGAGAGGTTCTTGCTCTGTTGCCCAGGATGGAGTGCAGTAGTGTGATCTGGGCTTATAGCCTTGATCTCCTGGGCTCAAGTGATCCCCCACCTCAGCCTCCTGAGTAGCTGAGAGTATAGGCGCACACCACCACGCCTGGCTAGTTTTTAAATTTTTGTTGATCTCCCTTTGTTGCCCAGGCTGACTTGGGCATTCTTACCTAGTACCAGTTCATTGCTTCAGTCCACTGCTGACCTTGTGGAGCCCAGTCATTCCAGCTGTCCTCCCCAAAGATGTCAGTCCGTTTAAACCCATCAGAAATTACAGGCTGGCTGACAAGGGCAGATCCTACACTGAAGGCTACACTGGTGGTGGGGCCTTTTGAGCTGGCATGAGAATCTACAAATAAGCTGACCTTCTTGGCATGTAGTCTGGCCCAGGAGTCATTCTGGACAGACACTGCCCTATGGGCTTGAAGCTTCCAGAGGCTCAGCCAGTGAGTCCTGGGCTTATCCTCACCCTGGGCTGCCTCGGATTCCAAGACATATGCTAGCCCAGGGAGTGGCATCACCCCTTTGCTTCACACCTATGGTGCTCGCTCTGTTATTGATTAGAAAAACAACGTATTTACTGAGCACTTACACACCAGTGTAGTAATAGTGACAATAGCTAAACTCTATTCGTTGTTTAGTTTTATGGAGTGTCAGGAATCATGAACAGTACTTGGCATCCTCTCTAAGTGAGTAAACCCCTCAACAATTCTGTGGAGAGCTCTTTTATTATTCCCATTCCACAGATGGGGAAACTGAGGTTGAGAAAGGTTAAGTGACTTGCTCAGGAATACACAGCTGCAAAACAGCGGAGCCAAACATTTGTGTCCAGGTTTGGGCAACTCAAAAGCAAAGGTACCAACCGTATAATTCTGCTAATTTCTGTATGGGACATGCTGATCTGAGCTTACCCTTTGGGTCTGCCTCCCCTTGCCTTCCCCAGCCCTTTCCCACCTGCTTTTAAACATCTGTGCCTCCTACAGGCATCTAGATCAAGGATTGGCTGGATTTTTCTGTAAAGGACCCGACAGTAACTCTTTTAGGCTTGTGGGGTATAAGATCTCTGTCACAGCTACTCAAACTCTGCCCTTGTAGTGCAAAAGCAGCCATAGACAGTATGTGAATGAATGGGTGGGGCTGTCTTCCAATAAAACTTTATTTACAAAAACAGGCAGTAGGCAGGGTTTTATGGGCTGAGTTTACTGGCCCCTGGTCTAGACCAGGAGATACTTCTGTTGGGAAGGATGGTGATCCGATAGGAGGTGTCTTTCCCCTCCCAGGTACACTTGGATTTCAAAAATGAGGAATGGGAAGTGTTTACTCTCAGTGGTGGACCACATTTGTTTTGGGAACAGGAAAGTTGCTTTCTGTCCCTCAAATCATACCATTAGGCAGATTTCCTAATCTTGGCTTTGGAATGGACAGGATTCACTAATTGGAACCAACCTGATCTGTGAGGATGCTAACCTGTTTTTAAAAGGAATCAGACTTCATTACTTTTATGTATGAACACAGGGTGACTTGCACCAATTAATTGATGCAGAAAGTAAATCACGTAGATTTACTAACAACCAACTGCTCTTCTCCCCTTGGTGCCTGAAGACTTTGCTGACAAATGTCTCTGTTCTCTTCAGCAGTCACATTTAGCTTGTGCACCTCTCTAGCATCCCCAGTGAAGAGTCCTTCCCTGGATTTAGTTCTTGAACTCTTATTTGTCAAAAAATTTTGCAGAAAAGACATAAAGAAGACTAGTGGATTTTCCCAGCCTTCTTGCAGTTGCCTTAACACACAAGGAGGTGGCTGAACAGAATTCCTAGTTGTTTTCCTTGTTGGTTTCTGGCGATGTTGCCTGGACTTGTTTGCCAGCAGGAGATGTCTGGTTGTTCAGATTTAAGGCCATTGAAAGAAGCCAGATTTTTATCCTCATGCTTGGAAGTACCTAGAATTAGGATTTTTTTTCTTCTCCCTTGAAGTTTCAGTTTGTGACAGGCAATGTTTCAAAGCTGATTTCTAATCATTAATTTTGCCTGCAACTCCATGAGTCCTCAGTATAATAGCTTTTAGAGAGTGTTTCAGATAACTTTCATGTCACTTTTTTTTCCCTGCATGAGTCTTATTGTCATGCTGAAGCTGTGCTCTTAGGCATAGCTTCACGGAGACTCTTTCAGTTGATCAGCCGTGAAGATGTCGTACCCTTTCTTGCTGCCATACCTTTGCTGGTGCCATTCCTTCTTCCTGGAGCACTGTTCTTCCCTGTCCTGCCTGGAAAAACCATAGGCATCTTCAGGAATCAGCTCACATGCCCCATTTGTGGGGCTGGCCATTACTTTCTTAGAGTGGCACCCCCTTCCTGTGCCCACCTAACCCACAAGATGCCCGCATCATGGTGTTTATCATTGTATTTGATTTGCCCAGCACATGGTCGTAATAGCAGTCACCATTTATTGGGCTCCCACTGAGTACCAGGCACTCTGTAATCCTTGCAGCAATCCCCAGAGGTTTGGGCACTCTCCTTATGCCCATTTAAAGATTAGGAAACCGAAGCTTCTTGGGGACTTCAAGTAACTAAGCGCTGGTGAGGCTAGAATGCAAACTAGGTGTGGCAGCTTCTGGGTGCTGTGCTCGTAGACAGTCTAGGTTGTAGGCGCTCAGTACTGGTTGGGTGACTGATGCATGATACAGGTGGCTGTGATGGATACAGCTTTTGCTGAGGGAGGTAGATGGTCAGAAAGCTTCTGGTGAGAGAAAGGCAGGGACAGTTCCAGGGCTGGGCTGAGCCTGGTGGGGAGGGTTTGGAGGACAGCCGAGGGCATGTCCAAGAAAAGAGATGGAGGAAGACTGTTGAGATTCACTCGGGGTGGTTGGCAAAATATCACAGAAAATATTAAAGATATATTAGGAAAAGTTATAGATTAGTCGCAAACCTTTTGGAAGGCCAAAAGGTTTTATTGGGGCAGGCCAAAGGCGGCTGGCCAGTCCATTAGGTTAGGGAGAGATAGAGATGATCAGAGGCCTTACCCACACCCATTAGTCTCCACTCTAACTGTTTACTCATGTTAATATTATGCTGGGTGGCCTCTCCCCCGGAAGATCAAAGGGGAATTACCTGTTAATAGCATTTACTCTGGGCCCCTGAAACCTAAAGCTTTTGTCAGTTCTAAAACCATTCTCTTAAGCATGTTAATTATCCACAAGCATGTTCTCACTCGTAGGTGGGTGTCGAACAATGAGAACACATGTACACAGGGAGGGGAGCACTACACACTGGGGTCAGTTGGGGGGAAATAGGGGAGGGACGGTGGAGGGTGGGAAGCTGGGGAGAGATAGCAAAGGGAGAGATGCCAGATGTAGGTGATGGGGAGGAAGGCAGCAAATCACACTGCCACGTGTGTACCTATGCAACAATCTTGCATGTTCTTCACATGTACCCCAAAACCTAAAATGCAATAAAATAAATAAATGGGGGAAAAAAAAAGGTGTGTTAACTTAGAACCTCTGTTAGGAATAAAAGTGTGGATGGACAGAGGGTCTGGGTCGATTGGTTTCATTTTGCCCTCTGAAAGCAGCCAATGGCCAGCCCTAACCCACTTGAAACACTGTAATGGTGTGAGAGCGCATTCATTCATCCATTGTTGAGTCAGGGTCTGCAGGTCAGACTTCCGCGGCGGTGGGACCCACGTCTCAGGTCATGACCCCGACGTGATCAAGGGCACAGAAGACAAACTTTGCCTCGTTAGTAACTAATCCTGTGATTCAGGATGTGGTACTTGGACAAGGCTGTTGCTCAGGAAATGGTGTTTAAATCAAATAGGTCTCAAGTGGCTCTAGTGTTAATTAGTACCCTTTTCTCCTTTCTCCTGCCCCTGCCTGCTCAGCCTCAGCCTTCATCATCGTCATGCTCCTGGCCAGCCTCAACAGCTGCTGTAACCCCTGGATCTACATGCTGTTCACGGGCCACCTCTTCCACGAATTTGTGCAGCGCTTCCTGTGCTGCTCCTCCAGGTACCTGAAGGGCAACCGCCTGGGAGAGACAAGCGCCAGCAAGAAGAGCAACTCGTCCTCCTTTGTCCTGAGTCACCGCAGTTCCAGCCAGAGGAGCTGCTCCCAGCCATCCATGGCGTGACCCACCAGCCAGGGCCAGGGCTGCCTCCTGAGGCTTGGGCTGTGCTGGCATGGGTGGTCTGCTTCTGGGTGGTGGCGTATGGATGTGTGTAAGGTACCTATCAGTTTGTATCACTCCACCCCTTGAGGTGGCTACAATGGGGTGGAGAGTGGCTTCCATGGTGGAAGATGATAGGGGACTCAGCTATCAGACAACCCCCTGGCCTCTTGCATGTACTTCTACCACCCTGACCCCACTGCTACCCTGGGGAGCGGGTGGGTGGTTTTTTCCCCTGGACCTGTAATTTCACTCCAGTATCTTTTTAATTCTTTATTCTGGGCTATTATGAAAAGTGGTAAATAGAAGATTGGTGACCAATTGGGTCAGGAAGTCCAGTGTTCTGGACCTGGGGTAAGGAGTGGGGTTGGGAACTTAGATGAGGGTGATGCTGAGATCCTCCTGACTTCAAAGTGCATTTGCCCTTGAGTGGACAAGTGCTGGCGTCCCTGGGGACCAGCTTGTCAGAGGATATCCTGAGGAGCAGGGGATTACCTTATAAGACCATCTGGCATAGCAGCTCAATTAGTACTTGGGTTAAAAATGTTTAAAAAGCTAATGTTTAAGAAGCAGTTGGGAAAGAAAAAGAAATAATGCATCCAGATTGGAAAAGAAGAAATAAAACTATTTGCAGGCGACACCGTTTTGTATATAGAAAATCCTAAGGAATTCACACACGCGCACACACATACACACACACATACACACACACACAGCTATTACAACTAATAAGCAAGTTCCACAAGGTTGCAAGATACAAGATCAGTATACAAAAATGAATTGCATATCCTTATACTAGCAACAAACAATATGAAAATGAAATTAAACCCCATTTATATTAGAATCAGAAAGAATAAAATAGGAATCAATTTAACAAAACAAGTGCAAGACTGAAAACTACAAAATTTGAAAGAAATTAAAGAAGGCTTAAATAAATGGAAAGACATCCTGTGTTCATGGATCAGACTTAGTATTGTTAAGATGGCAATACCATCCTAATTGATACACAGATTCATTGCAATCCTTATGAAAATCATAGCTAGCTTCTTTGCAGAAATGGATAAGCTAGTCCCAAAATTCATAAAGAAATACAAGGAATCCAGAATAGCCAAATATGCCTTGAAAAAGAACAAAGTTGTTGGATTCACACTTCCTGATTTTATAATTTATGATAAAGGTATAGTAATCAGAGCAGTGTGTTACTGGCTTAAGAATAGACATATGGAGTAGAATGAAGAGTACAGATATGAACACTTGTACTTATGGTCAATTGATTTTTGACAAGATTCCCAAGACAATTCAATAGAGAAAGCAGAGTCTTTTCAACAAATGGCACTGGGACAATGATATGCATGTGCAAAAGAATGAGCTTGGACTTTTACTCACACCATGTGCAAAAATCAACTCAAAATGTATCCAAGACCTAAATATAAGAGCCGAAACTATAAAATCTAAGAAAGAAGCATAGGCATAGATCTTTGTAACCTTGAATTAGCCAGTGGTTTCTTAGATATGACCCCAAAGACACAAGCAACCAATGAAAAAATAGGTAAATTGGACTTAATTAAGATTTTAAGCTTTTGTAATTCAAAAGACCCTATGAAGAAAGTGAAAAGACAACCTGCAGAATGGGAGAAAATATTTGCAAGTCATATATTTAAAGGACTTGTAGCTGGAATATATAAATAACTCTTATAACACAATAATAAGGAGAAAAATAAGTCAATTTTAAAAATGGCCTAAAGATCTGAATAGACATTTCTCCAAAGAAGATATGCAAATGCCTAATAAGCACATGAAAAAATGCTCAACATTATTATTCATTGGGAAATGCAAGTCAAAACCCCAATGAGATTCCACTTTACAATCACTAGGATGGCTATAATAAAAAGATGGACAATAACAAGTGCTGGTGAGGGTGTAGAGAAACTGGTAGAAATGTAAATTGTTGGTGGCAATGTAAATGGTGCACCTGCTTTGAAAAACAGTTTGGCAGTACCTCAAAAAGTTAAGTGTAGAGTGACCATATGACCCAGGAATGCCACTCCTAGGCATTTACCCAAGAGAAACGAAAACGTACATACACACAAAAACTTGTACGCCAATGTTCATAGCAACATTATTTGTAATAGCCAAAAAGTGGAAACAACCCCGATGTCTATCAACTGGTGAATGGGAAATAAAATGTGATATATCCATACAATGAAACGTTATTTGACTCTAAAAAGCAATAAAGTGCTGACACATGCTACAACATGCATGAACCTTGAAAACATTACATGAAGTGAAAGAAGCCAGTTGCAAAAGCCCACGTATTGTCTGATTCCATTGAAATGCAGTGTCTAAAATGGACAAATCTATAGAGACAGAATATAGATTAGTGTTTGCCAGGGCCTGGAGGCTGTGGGAAATAAGGTGTGACTACAAAAGGTATGGGAGTTTCTTTTTTTGGGTGATGAAAATATTCTGAAATTAGTGGTGATGGTGCACGATTTTGAGAATGTACTAAAAACCAATGAACTTTAAAAAAATAAAAAATGTTCAACAGATGAATTCAGAGAAGGCCAGCTTGATGGATGAATTCCTTGGAATCTCTTGCCTCTCAGAGCTTTTGTTTCTCTATGTGGCTCCCTGCTTGAGAGGGATCTCATGGCTTTCTTACTTGGTTTTACTGCAAGAGATCATGTCTCTCTTTGGTGAAAAGTCACAGCAGTGATAATATCCCTACCTTGCTTTAGTAAAGGCACAAATGATGCCTTGTAGCTACACGTGGTTATGTTTTATTTAAAATAGCAATTCACTAGGGGTGTCAGAGATTTTTCTTACCTAGTGAACATGTTCTCAAATCTCCTCTCAGCCTTGATGTTAGAACACGACCACTTCTAAGAAATACCTTTAGTCACTAAATACAGGACAGTATTGATCAGAGTTTTACTGTCAGGGATTGACCAGTTCAGCGCACAGTGGGCACCTTTTAAGTTTCCAAACACATTTTTGGACTTACTGGGATACAGCAGTAACATCTCAAAGGCCACAGATCCTGTCTCTCTCTTTATAACACAGTTTCTTCTTCCTGCATGCTTTAGTAGCCACATAGCCCCCCGCTCCCCGGCCCCCCGACACACACACATGAATGAGCTAGCATTGTCTAAATGTTCTAGGAGAAGAGAGGCATGCACTGAAATGTCAATGTTCAAAGTCTAAGGATTTGGCACAAGATCTTTAGTATTACTCGGAGATGGAAGATAATATCATCTTTGGACTGCAAAGCTTTGCTCAGTGTTGCTGGGACATGCATGAAGACCATCAACACCAGCCAGTCTTTGCTCTTTGGGAAGCTGACAGGATGCTGGTCCGGGCCCCTTGTGCCCATGTACTGGACTACTGGTGTGCTCTGGGTGCAAATGCAGCAGTAGTGGGGTCTGTTAGCATCCATACCTCGCTGCCCACCTGCCAGAGATGCCCCAGGTCTCTGCTGTTCCCGGAAAAGTTGCCATCCTAGGAGTCAACAGAGGCCGCTAGGGATCAAAGGGACAGCAACTCACAGTAGATTTTCTGACCAGGGGCACAGCATTCCTGAGAACCCTGGAGTTGTGAGATTCTTGGGCATCTGAAACAAGTATGATGCTTTGTCACTCTCTTCATGTGAAAGCTCTGGCTGGTACGTTGGGTCTCATTATGGCACAGGAATCTGTTTTATGGCAAATAAGTGATGCTCAATTTCAGCAGCCCAACTGGATATACACTCCTACCCTACTCCCATCTCCTTCAGAATATTTTCACCATTTCTTAGTCTTTCCCCAACTAAAGCCTAGAAGAATGAGCGCAGGGGTTCAGAACGCTACCTCGGGCTCGGTTGTTTCTGGCCTCCTCCCCAGGCCCCATGCCTGAGATCTGCCAACCACCTTTCCCTACAGTTTCAGACTTGCTTACAACCATATGCATGGCCAGGAGTGCCAGGAAGTGGGAGCTGCAGATTGTCTTCTGGAATGTTTCATGGCTCTGACCATCAAAAGCGAATGTGGAGACTCTGAGCCTTATTTCTTTAGGCACTGAAGTAATGAATCTGGCACATACTTTGGTCTCCTTTTGGGTTGAGTCTATGTGTTGCTACTTCAGGAAATGTAAGAGGACAATGCAAGCTGTCGTTTAAGACAATCCTGGTTTCAAAGTGTTTAACCCTTTTTGTATTCATTAGCAATGAAACACCACTTAAGGCAAAACGTGAACGCCTTGATTTTGTTCTACTGTGGTGACCTGCTCTGGCACCCCTGTGTAACTGTGCCAGTTGGTGAATGGCATGGCTGATCATAAGGTGTCTGCTTCATTAGCAGCTTGATAGAGAGTGCACTTAATAAACATTTGTTTCCATACATTGCTTTGCCCCCATTCTTCCTCCCAAAAATGGTGACTGGAACTGGTGGCTTGTAGATTGTAGATCCCTGCAGGGCTTCAGAGCTGTTGGCCTGATTATGGCATAGGTGCATGGGCTGGGCAGGGGATGGAAGGGGGCCCTGGTCCCATTCTCTGGAATCAGAGATACACTCATTTGTCAGAGTTCTGTGGGAAGATGCTCTAAGATTCAGGAACAAATATCATGTATGATGTCCCTGAACTCTGTAGATAATAGGATTCTAGACTGTTACCTTGAAGGGACCCTAACCGATATTTCTTAAAAGTGGTTTTGGGAGCTGTCTGCAGCATCACAGATGAATTTGTGTTAAAATGCTGATTCCTGGGCTCCACTACTGAATCTCTGGAGCTAGAGCCTTGGAACCTGCATTTCAAACAGGAGTCCCTGGTGGTCTCCATATATCTTATGAGAGGGAATGGGAATGAGAACTCTAGCCTCCTGCCTTGTGCCCATTCTCATCACACCCCCAGTGCGATTTTCTGCCTACTACTTCTCAAGGGGGTTCCTGGAGGGAGAAGAGCTCCTCAGACACCCATGCATCTCAGATGTGTGTCCTGTCTCCAATTCTGTGAACTTTGTGGGTCATTAAGCACATACCATAGTCTGCCCTTAGAGAAAGAGTGAGCTTGAAAAATTGGAGTCATCGTCAAATCTAGTTATAGCAAATACCAAGATGGCAAATTCTCTACGTAACCCAAGATTCCAAGTCTGAAATGGGTGGCCTTGTGATTTCAAGAGACGTTTGAAAGGGCAGGCCCTTTGAGGAGGACATAAGTAACATCAGCCTTAATTCTTTTCAGCGGGGGGAGCCTGGGCCTGCCGAGACCCTGGACAATGTGGAAGAGCCCCAAGGGAGAGCACAGGCGGCAGGCTGGAGCCACAGCGATAATGCTGGCTAGGTGGGTGCCTTTTGGCGAGGTTGCTGACTTCTCTGGACTGTAACTCTCTCATCTACAGAAACAAGGGATGAATGATGAAGTGTTTGGGGTAAAATGTACTGATATCTGCAACGTATTTAAACATGCATAAAGATGAGATTGGTGGGATGGATAGAGGGTGGATAGATGGGTAGGGGTGTGAGAAAGCTGGGGTGGGAAAATGTTAATGGTATAGCCTACATGGGTATGTATGTTCAACTTTTCCCTGTGTTTGAATTTTACATAAGATATTAGGAGAAAACCAAAATCGGGTAAGATTTTGGAGC